CACATGTTTGCTGTAGATCGTTGTAATCTAAGTTTGATGAGAAAGTGAGGGCAGGGTCAGTCAGATGGGAAGCCACTCCCAGGTGGTTGACTCTTGTCACAGTCTGGTTTCATAGGGGCCAGCCCCAGCAGTACTGGTGTGCTCGGATTCATGGGGACCACCAAGACTATATCCGGTGGTATTCGGGGGCCATGCAGTACTAGGAATCAGACTCGGCACATGCTGGGCATGTTAAGCATGCAGTTGCCACTTTAAGCTACCCTCCAGCCCCTTTAAAAACAGAATATTTAAGGGGGGATGAATATTTAAGGGTTGGGCCACACCCAGCATTACTCCTGGGTTCTCCCTGGCTCTGTCAGGGATCACTCTAGCAGGTGATCGCCCACTCTTGGGCGAGCACATACAGTGCCCGGGATCAAACCCAGGTCTCTATATGCAAGACAAGTGCTGTAACTCCCTTGTAAGACTCTCCAGTCTTAGGTTTACTCCATGGCTTGGAGGCCAGCCGCACATCCTAGGGGAAAAGGCAGCTCAGAGAGAGAAGGGAGCACCAAATAAAGGGTGTTGGAAGGATCCTCCCAGGATGGGAGAAGCATGCTGAAAGTAGACTATAGACCGAACATGATTGCCACTCAATGCCTCTTTTTTTTTTTTTTTCCCCCCTTTATTTTATTTTATTTTTTTTAAAGTTGTAGATTTACAATTTTTTGTGCTTTGGTTTCAATTATACAATGATCAGATACCCATCCCTCCACCAGTGCCCATTTTCCACCACCATGGATAATATCCCTCCCACCCCCATCCCCCCATCCCCCCGTCTCTGTGGCAGGGCAATCCCCTGTGTTCTCTCTCTCCTTTTGGGTGTTGTGGTCTGCAAAAGAGGCATTGAGTGGCAAACATGTTCAGTCCATAGTCTACTTTCGACATGCATCTCCCCTCCTGGGAGGATCCTCCAAATATCCTTTATTTGGTGCTCCCTTCTCTATCTGAATAGCCCTTTCCTCTAGGATACCCGGCTGGCCTCTAAGTTATGGAGTAATCCTCCTGGTGCTGATCTCAGCTATTCTTGGGTATTAATCTCATACTTTGTTACTTTATATCCCCCAGATGAATGCAATCTTTCTATGTCTATCCCTCTCTTTCTGACTCATTTCGCTTAGCATGATACTTTCCATATTGTACCACTTGTATGTAAATTTCATGACTTCATCTTTTCTAAGAGCTACATAGTACTCCATTGTGTAGATGTACCAAAGTTTCTTTAACCAGTCATCTGTTCTTGGGCATTCAGGTTTCTTCCAGTTTCTGGCTATTGTAAAGAGGGCTGCAATGAACAAACAAGTGCAGATGTCACTTCGACTATACATTTTTGCCTCTCTGGGATATATTCCCAGGAGTGGTATTGCTGGGTCAAATGGGAGCTCAATTTCTAATTTTTTGAGAATCGTCCATACTGTTTTCCAGAAGGGCTGAACCAGTGGACATTCCCACCAACAGTGAAGGAGTGTCCCTTTCTCGCCACATCCACGCCAGCATCGGTTGCTTTTGTTCTTTTGAATTTGGGCCAGTCTCTGAGGTGTGAGATGGTATCTCATTGTGGTTTTGATCTGCATCTCCCTGATGATTAATGATGTAGAGCATTTTCTCATGTGCTTTTTTGCCATTCGGATTTCTTCTTTGAGAAAGTTTCTGTTCATTTCATTGCCCCATTTTTGGATGGGGTTGGATGGGGAGGACATGAGGAAATGGAAAGATATCCCCTGCTCATGGGTCGGGAGACTTAACATTGTCAAAATGGCAATACTACCGAAAGCATTGTATAAATTCAATGCAATCCCTATAAGGATACCCATGACATTCTTCAAAGAAATGGAGCAAACACTCTTGAAATTTATATGGAACAATAAGCCCCCACGAATAGCTAAAGCAATTCTTGGGAAAAAGAAAATGGGAGGAATCAACCTCCCGAACTTCAAACTGTACTACAAAGCAGTAATAATTAAAACAGCATGGTACTGGAACAAAGGCAGAACTGCAGACCAATGGAACAGGGTTGAATACACTGACATCTCTCCTCAATCATATGCTCATCTAATCTTTGATAAAGGTGCAAGTAATGTGAAGTGGAGTAAGGAAAGCCTCTTTAATAAATTGTGTTGGCATCACTGGACGGCTACATGCAAAAAAATAGGCTCAGAACTCTGCCTAACACCATGTACAAAAGTAAGATCAAAATGGATTAAAGACCTCAACATCAGACCAGAAACCATAAGGTACATTGAAGATAAAGTTGGCAAAACCCTCCATGACATTGAAGCTAATGGTATCTTCAAAGATGCCACGCCACTGGCCGAGCAAGTGAAAACAGAGATAGATAAATGGGACTATCTTAAACTAAGAAGCTTCTGCACCTCCAAAGAAACAGTGACCAAAATACAAAGACAGTCTACAGAATGGGAAAGGATATTCACCGAATACACATCTGACAAGGGGTTGATATCCAGGATATACAAAATACTGGTTAAACTCCACAAGAAGAAAACAAACATTCAATGCCTCTTTTGCAAACCACGGCACACAAAAGGAGAGAGAGAACAAAAGGGAATTCCCTGCCACAGAGGCAGGGTGGAATGCGGGGGAAGGGGGGATACTGGGATCAGTGGTGGTGGAGAATGGGCACTGGTGGAGGGATGGGTTCTCAATCGTTGTATAACTGAAACCCAAGCACAAAAATATGTAAGTCTACAACTGTACCTCATGGTGTTTCACTAATAAAAATTAAAAAAAGAAAAGACTCTTCAGTCTTGTTGGGTTTTATCTATAAATAAAATGAAATGTCATGGGGTTGGCACCATGTGCTTAAGTGACTAAGCATTGGCCACCATGTTTATACAAACCCTACCCTGCTGTGTATGATGTGCTGAGTTCCGATTGCAGTGACAAACTGGTAGACAGAGAAACGGGGCAGGTGGATTAACCAGTTGTGAGCCCAGGATCCCAGACGGCAGTGGAGTGCGAGGAGACATGGACAGACCCCGAGTGAGAGCTTCCCAGAGTTCAGTCGATTCCCCTGCTGTGAGCTGCGGCTTTCTTTCCCCGTTTGATGTTGAGAGGGCTTGTGGTTGTACAAGTGAAGGCTGATGCGGTGAGGCTCTGGGTAGTGAACCTTGTGGGTGACTCTGGGATTGTACTCAGTTTAACAATAACTCACATCCTTCCGACCAATTTGGGATTGTACTCAGGAGATGACCACCTGAGAGTTCCCAGGCAAGTCCCTTGCCCTCTTCGATGTTGGTTGGACTCTCCTCTCTGCCGCTGTCGGTCCTCACTGCTATCTGATCCCACTTCCGCCCTCCTCCTCATCCTCTGAATCATCCTCATCGTCTTGACTGCATGACTTCAGGAAGTAGTGCTGTTTTGGCCTGTGCATGTGCATGCATGTCTGCATATGTGCATGTGTATATGTGTGCATGTGTATGTGCATGCCTCTGTGTGTGCCTGCGTGTCTGCATGCACGTCATGGAGGACACTTGGCCTGGGCAGGGTTTTGTCCCACAGGAATGGCCCCGTGGTGGGCGTGGCTCTGGTGGGTGACATGTGTGGTGGAGGTTCTGTACTACACCCAGCTCTGTACACGCCCCATGCCAGTGATGTCATGCGTGTTCGGTCCAGGGTCCTGCAGAGAAGGGGGACATATGCAGGGGGCTTGGATCCTCATGACTCCTGGATCACAGAGCCAAGAGTAGCTCCCCACTGCTGGGTATATGGTCCCAAAATTGGGAGAGAGGGGAGGAGGAAAAACCTGGGCCTCAGGTGTGACTATTATGTATACCTGGGTGAGCAGGTATCCATCCCTATCAGACACAGCATGCCCAAGGAAAGAAGTGCCGGGCCAGAGATGGGCGGCCCCAGGCTTAAGGAGCATACCTTGCGTTCCTGGTTCTGAGCTTGCCTGGGTGCAGCCATGTTCATGGCCCTGGGCACAATGGGTGTGGCCCTGATTGGTCCCCTGCTGGCTGAATATGGTAGAAGGAGCCCCAAGAGCCCCAGGGCCAAAGAAATAGCTCAAATGGCCAGAGCCCACGCTCTGCATGTGAGAGGTTCCGGGTTCAATTGCTGAGACCTCTCAGGAATTGTGTGGTACCTGGAGTACCACCAGGAGCAACCCCTGAGCACCACCAGGTGTGGCAAAAAGAGACATTCCCGGACCAAAACTGGGCATCTGCTGCCTGTGACCCTAGAAGCTCCAAGAAGCCCACTCTGTGAAAGTGCCTTCATCTGTGTGGAGAGCAGTAACTGACTTTGGAGGGACACGCCGTGCTAGAATGAGCCCCCTCAGGAAATACCTTTCCTACAGTGGGGATGGGTGATTGTTTCTGCTCTTGGGTGTCAATAGGTCTTAGGCAGGCACCCCCCCCTCGAGGCACCCCTTTCTGAAGCAGCTCAATGCCTTTCTGGGGGGGTCCTGACTCCCAGCAGTCAGCTGGCCAGGTCAGGCCCAGAACTCTACTCCAGGGCAGCTTTGAACCTCAGGTCTGGACCACATTTGCAGAGCCCAGGGAAGGCAGGAGGGAAGCCTGTCGACGCGTGCTGTGGGGACGGACACTGAGCTCAGGTGGAGGGGGGGTGACCTCACACCTAGGCTGGTTTCAGGTCTCTGGATCCCCCCAGACACTGCTGGAGGGTTCAGGCCACATGGGGAGCTAGAAGCCGGCCCCACCTCCCCAAGGGTCTGCACCTGGCCGCCAAGGACCCTCACTGGGCTCTCCCTGCCCCCTCCCCACGGCCAGCTTCTATAACTGCTCAGAAAGGAGGGGCTAGGAAGGGGGTGCATGCCAAATGGGAGCACCACTGCACTCCCGTTTCTCGCCCACATTTGGGACTCATTTTACTCATTTGAGCATGGTGGTTTCCCCTTAATCCTTCTGTGGGCCCTTCCTCTCCCACCGTCTTTCCAAGCACGGCCTCGAGACTGAGGGGCTGCCTTCTGTTGTCTCTAGCCAGAAATGGATCTCCCCGTGACCGCTGGCGGCAGTGCGAGTCGGGAGTCAGTGCGGACCCAGCCCCAGGAGCCCGTGAGTGTGCCGCAGACGCTGACCAGCACGCTGGAGCACATCGTGGGCCAGCTGGACGTCCTCACCCAGGTAGGCTGGGCCTGGCACTCGGCCACCGGAAGTGGCCAGCATGTATTGGGTCGTCAAAGAACATGATTATAGGGGCCGGAAAGATAATACAGTGGGGAGGGCGTTTGCTTTGCATTCGGCCACCCAGGCTCAACCCCAGCACTCCATAAGGCCCTCTGACCACCACTGGTATAGCCCAAAACACAAACAAACAAGAACATGACTATAACAGACCTGTTTTCCAGCCCAAATGAGTAAAACAGCAGTGCCCGTCCTAGATCCTGACTGTCAGAGCCACACAAGCCAGGCATTGGATGCCCCCCCAGGGTACTTGCCCCTCTGCCCCCATACTGGGCTGAATTGCAACAGAACTTGGAGAGAAACACCATGTGTTTGGCGCACCCTTGGCTACAGGGGCTCTTGGAGAGCTCAGCTTTGGGTTTGAGCTGGCCCAGCTCCTTAGCTTCTGTGTGACCATGGAACAATCCCTGGGCCCACCACACCCTGCTGTGTTTCTGTGAAGTGCCAGGCCATGACTGGTGAGGATTATAGAGTCTGTGCCAGGGTCTGCCCATGTCCAGGTGGCTGCTCAGTGAACAGCTGGTAGAGGCAGGAGCGGACCCCTCAGGAGCACACTCATACAGCTCCAAACATCCTGGCAAGACAGCAGTTTGAGTAAAAAGCAGAAGTGCCCAGTGAGGTGGCAGCTGGCATGGAGGCCTGCTTAGGGGTATCTCACCTGGGGGTGGGGACAGTTCTGGCAGAGAGAGCAGCCTGCAGGGCCCCTGTGCTGAGGGCCCAGAGCGCGCCAAGACCACAAGTGGAAGTCTGGAGGTGAGGTGGGGGCAGGGCTGACCCAAGATTTATCAGGCCTCAGGCTCCTCTCCAGGGTGCTGGGCGCAGACTCCCTCTCTGAGCCAGCCCCTGGCAGAGGGGAGTGGCGGGAGGGGTGCCCCCGGCGAGAGTGTGATAGCTATGGCGCTGCACGGAAGGTCCCCCTCCTGCCTCTGCACCCGGGAATCTCCGCTCCATACCCTCGGCTGGGCCTGGGCATCTCCAGCCCCCAGAGGAAGCCCCGAGGGGAAGGTCAGGTGTCAGAAGGGGACACACTGGCACAGTGGGTGGGCATCTCTGCAAGCCTCTGGACCCCCAGAAGTCATGTGCTGAGTGAGTGACAGTTAGCGAGCAAAGACCCAAAAGCATTACCCCACCTCCCGCCTGGCAGGAACTGCTGAGCCCACCGCATGCGCTTCACAGTCCCAGCAAGTGAGAGCGCAGGGAGGTGGAATCAATTAGAACTTTATGGGATAAAATTGGAAATTGAGTCTGAGAGGATGGTTAAAAATAGCTGCACTGGATCCAGAGGAGTATAATACTGAAAACATTTCCCGGCACTGTGTTTCCAGGGGCACGGGGAAGGTTTTGTTCTGTGTTCGCGGGGAGGAGCGTGATAGTAACTCCGTGTGAAACCCATGTCACAGCTCGAGGGAGAAGGCTTGCTTGCGCCTGGGGGTGGGGGCTGGCCGTCTAAGGTATCCTTGTCAGCCCCCAGACAGCGCCAAGTGACGCCCCCCCACACCTCACTTCGTTCCCCATCCCTCAGAGCACGGTCACCCTCTGAGACTCACCTAGCCAAGGAAATGTGGACACCTTGGCTGCCCCCAATCTGGGCTGTCAGAAGCACCTGTGCACCCCTCAGGCTTGGGCCCCCCTTTCTCTCCAAGGTTTGGAGTGCTGGCCAGGGACTGGAGGGCTGTTGCTCCCTTTTCTGAGACCATCGTGGCTGGGAGCACCCCCTCCTTGGGGGCGGGGGGCCAGGCACTCCCGCCCCCTCCCCCTGGCCTTCTCTCCAGAGGGTGCTCAGTGGCTCTGAGCCTACATTGTCTGTAGATGCCGCCCCCCACTACGACTCCCCACCATTCTCAGGTGCCCCTGTGCTGTGTGCTGTCCGCTGGGTGCGTGCTCTGCTCTCCTGCACCCACCGTATATGCCCTTCCTTCCCCACAGGGGTGTCGCCCTCAAGGGGAACTGCCTTTGGGGCTGGAGTGATAGCACAGCAGGTAGGGTGTTTGTCTTGCACGCGGTCAACCTGGGTTCGATTCCCAGTATCCCATATGATCCCCCCCGAGCATCGCCAGGAGTAATTCCTGAGTGCAGAGCCAGGAGTAACCCCTGAGCATCACCGGGTGTGACCCAAAAAAAAAAATAAAGGGCGGGGGACTGTCTTCCAGCCTACAGAGCCCTTCCAGGGGGCCTTCCGGACAGGCCAGAGATGCTGGCTGAGGGGTGCAGAGCCCCTGGTAATAGGAGCAGGATGTCCCCATCCAGGGCCTGTTGGCCAGGGACCTATCTGCCAAGGACAGGCCTGGACATGAGGCGAACCCAAATCCCAGTTCCCCTTTCCACAGCTCAGTGACCCTGGGCAAGTCACTCCACCTCTTGGCCAGTTGGGTTTCAAATGTGGAACCGGAGCTGAGAACAGCCCCCAGCCTCAGGCCTCTGTGTGCCCCCGTGCGTGGCTCTGCCAGGTGCTGCGCTGGCTGTCCCCCCTCATGGCTCAGGGACCACATTTGGGGTGTAGGATTGTGCCCCCCATGGGGAGCCCCATGACTGAATCTGCCAGAGCCACACGTTCAAGGAGGAGCAGGAGACTGAGGGGTGTGGGCCGGGTCAAGGGCTCCCAGGTGGGAAGACTCTGGGACCCTCCGAGTGCAGACTCCCGAAGGGTCCCAGCAGGTCCCACCCATGGAAGGGTCTGAGGGGTGTGTGGACAGTTCCCAGGCCCAACTCGACTCAGGCATGTTCGACCACGCTGGGGTGTGAGAGGGCTGGGGTGCTCAGAGACCCTGGAAACCAAGTGTCTCTAGGGTGGTGGTGGCAGGGCTGACAGAACCCAGGCCTTTACTTCCAGTGTTGAGTTTTTACTGTTCTAGGCTTTTTAAGAATCTGGTTGTGGGTTTTTCTGAGTGATGGGGGGTGGGGGGTGCGGAGAGGGGCCAGCAGGCTCACTCGGTTTACACTCAGGGTTTTACTCCTGGCTCTGCTTATGGATCACTATTGGTGATGCTTGGGAAACCATATGTGGTGCTGGGGATGGAACTGGGTCCAGCTCAGTTAAAGCCGGCACCTTCTCCCTGTGCATGCTCTGTCTCTCTGTCTCTGTCTGTCTCTCTCTCTCTTTCTCCCTCTCCTGCCGCCCCCTCTCACCTCCAACCCCCCCCCCCCCACTCCACCTCCTGTTCTGAGGCTTTCAGAACTACCCTTCTCATCAAGTCGTGCTTTTTGTTTTTGTTTTTGACATGTGCAGTTTGATGAGGAAATGGACTTTGGGAGAACCGGGCCAGGGCTGGCTCTTGGGCACATTGCTTGGGGTGTTGTTTTAGAAAGTCTTCAGAGTGGGGATTCTGTATCTCTTCTGCTGGGGGCTGGCTGGGCCTGCGCTCTCTTCCTTCCCACCTCTCACGTGCTTCTCCCCGCTGATGCACAGGAGCTAGGCCATGCCAGCTGCAGGCAGGCTCCAAGATGGCAGCAGAGCTATTGTGGTGCCTGGTCTGTGCAGCTGGAGTCTCTTCAGGATCCCAGGCAGCATCCTGAGCCCCATCCACTATAAGTCAGAAATGCCATAGTTTTCTTGGTTGCAGAGTTTCAGGGGTACGTGGGGATGACTGTATCAAGGATTCGTCTGCAGGCTGAGCTGGACCTTCCTGTATGGGAAGGCCATAAGGCCTTGCTCAGGGCTGTGTGTCCACGGAGCCCAGAAGCAGGGTCTGTGAGGTCACCAGCCGTGGACATGCCCTCTGGCCCTGGCCCTTTGCATGGGCCAGGCATTGCAGGGGCTTCGCTGGTTCTCCCACGGATCCCACTTGGACTTCATGTTCTGAGCAGCCCTGGGGAGCAGGAGCCCTCCCATGAGGTCTCCCAGCTGTTCTGCTCAGCCCGGCGTACCCCACTTCTGGTTTTGAGAACCAGCACTCCCATTCAGCATCTGCATGGCCTTGGCAGGCACTCTTGCACGCCGTCCTCTTTTAGAAGGGGGCCGGTCAAACCTGTCCGTGTGCCGAGGGCTATTGGGAAGCTGTTGGCTAAGTGGCCGGGCTGAGCCGGGACCCGCTGTTTGGGAAAGCGCCTGGCTCTCCAAGGAGCAGCAGGGGACGCTCTGGGGCAGACATGGACGTTTCGTGGCCTCTCTAACTCCAGGAATGCTTTTGAGCTGCCAGGGACTCTAGTGGTTTGTCTTAGGCGGGAGTGAGAGGGAGAGAAGACATCTTTTTTCTTGGGTTCCATGAGGAGTGTGGGGTGGGGGTGCAGTGTGGGCTCAGGGATGTGGAGACCTTGAGGCTGCTGAGTGGACATCAGGGTCAGGGTTGGAGCCTTCAAAGACTAGCACTTTCTGCAGCAACTGCTCTTGGATTTGGTGTGCATGTGTGTGTGCGTGCGTACGTGCATGTGTGTGTGCGCGTATGTGTGTGATTTGGACTTTAGGCTTCTCTTTAGGAGGCTTTTTGTTTCTCAGAACCCTCGTGGCAACTTCCAGAAGCTGCTCAAGTTGACATGCTGAGCATGGACACATACCAGTCCTGTGACTGACTTGGTCAGTGCCCCACAGGGCCTACCCAGTCCTTTCCCAAACACCTTGTCCTAGCCACAGAGGCTTGTGGGATTGAGAGGAAAACCCAGGAAGCTGTTCTTGGCCTGGCTTCACCTCTTTCCTTTCGTGCGGACTGGGAAGGCGTGGCTTCCTCTTTTGTAGAAGGGGCCCCCGACACTGCCCGGCTATCTGTCCTGTGGGGGGACAGCAGAGGCCACTGCGGCCAGCAGTGTGGAAGGGTCAGGACTTCCGGCCGGGCTTTCACTTCCCAGTTGCCTGCTTTGGGTCAGGTTCTCATGGGGATGCATGCAGAGTCCGGGCCTGGGCACTGTCTGCCAGCGTGTTCTCATGGGTGTCACCCAGCAGTTTCTTTTGGCAGATGTGGGAGACTGGCCAGTGAGCAGGACGCTGTTCTCAGCTCGTGTCCTGTCCC